GGAAGAAAGAGATGAGAATAAGTTTATGTTATTATATCATTGCTTGCTTATATGGTGAATATTAGATATATTCTGGTTGACTTTTGGTTTCGCCATTGAGTACCTTATGAATCTGTTTAATTGTCTAGAATGTTCAATTCATCAAAAATGACGATGAAAATATTAAGTTAAACTTAACTATAATAGGCTGGTCATAGCTATTGCCCTCATCTTTTTTCCCAGTATGGATTTACAGAGGAATAGTAGACCTCTTTTAGCTAATTTTTTCTCTGATGTATTTTTTTAACCATTTGTATGTGTATTCTAGCCTTCTAAGAGAATCACTTAGTTTTTTTTCATTATTCAACAAAAGGAGGAGGGAAGTATTAATTTATTAAATTTGTTAAACGAACGAAAACTTGGCAGCCTACTGTGGATTTGGATCAAGAATGATTTTTTTTTTTGGGTCTGGAGAAATCAAAGAAGAAAGCTATTAGGAACAGTGAAGATAGAAGTACTAAGAAGCAACAAAGGAGTGGAAGATTTGGAAATTTTGCCCTTATGTAGAGACTGAAATATGAACAATATGTTTTGAGGGTCGATCTTGCTGATTGGAGATTTTGTAATTACAAATTGTGTGAACTAAAGAAAGGTTGGGAGAGAAGGATGAACGGACAAGAAAAGGAAGAATAAGATTGATACCTTTTGGGCTGAGGTCTTTATCTTTACGGTAGATTTGTAAGGTTTTAATGAAAAATTTTGATGACATCAAATCTAATACTAAATTTAATAATAGGAATAGGAAGAATTGGGAACATGCAATTTTCCATGAGGTTTAGACATGGTCTTGAAATTTAAAGTGGAAGGGTTGGCTCTTCTCAACTAAGAGGTACTTAAATGTGCCAATAATAAAGGAACTTCTTGTATCTCACATAATTACGACTACTGCTGCAAGTTTATTGGAACTTTGTTATTTATGTAACCGAATGCATTGCTTTAAGACTTTTCTCTGTCTGTCTATGACCTTTTAGGGACAAATTAGCCACATTCCTGCCTATCTCCTTCCTTTTATCTATTGTGGTTATGGATATTGCTGTTTCCATTAGAGCTTTATTTGGATAATGTAAATATTTTGGTTTCATAAACAATGTTAGGTTATATTTCTACCTTGAGAAACAATGTTCGCTCTCGCGCTTGGGGTGCTGCAATTGGTTGTAGTTATCGAGTCGAGCGGTGCTGCATTGTGAAGGTACTGACAAATTACTGTAAACTTTTGTCATATTTCACAATTTTTTCCCTCAAGTTATGTGATCTCACATGCGAATTTGCTTCTACATTTACGTTATTTAATTTAGTTTGTAAGAAATATATCATCCTTATTATCTCGTACTTCCACTTGTCTAATTTTTAGAGCTGCAGACTACTTCATATTTTAATTTTTTGCTCACATTTTATATTGATTTGTCTGATTGAGGACGTAATTTTTGAAGGGTCTGTTCTTGCTAGGAATGGTTGTTCACGCTTCTCTACACCTGTGTTTTGGCACAAGCATGTGCATGTACATATTTATAATCATGTCATTGGTTTGGTCAGGCAATTCTCAATCTTTAGAATTTGATGGTGATTTTAACTGTGTTTATTTCACTGGTTTGCAGAAAGGAGGTGGAACTATTGATCTTGAACCATGCCTTACTCATACGTCAACAGTTGAACCTACCCTTGCTCCATTGGCTGTTGAGCGGACAATGACCACTAGGGCTGCAGCTTCGGTTTGTCCCTCTTCTAATTCAAACCTTTTGCTTTTAGAAAACTATTTTAGACTTATTACTACCGGTTCCATTTGTGTTTTCTGCTGGATATGAGTTGACTCTGAAATTGTTTATCTTTTACTTGACACTATTTGTGTGTTGCAACTGTATTTCTTGATTTTTTGACTCTGTCATCTCCTTATATGCTCCTTTTAATTTTATTTATTGGTTGATTTTATGGTTGCTGAATTTGTGGGGTTTAAGGTGGTCATTATGATTTTAAACGTTAATTCCTATGTACGTAAAGCTTAGTCCATTTTAATCAATAAAAACATTAGAGCCCCGTAGCTGCAGATTCTCTTGTTTGTCTCTTCACCAAAAGCATCGAACAGTTTGTTTTGTGCTGTTTCATTTCAATCTATGGGACACTTAGTTTTCTTCTTTATCTTTTTTCAGGCCTGTCTACTATGTTTTGGTAAAAAATATAGATTGTCTGCTTTGATCATATCACGCTTGACATTTTCCTGACTGATAACAGCCAATAAAATATTTGTGATTCTGATTAGACGTTTCCATCTTATCCGATGGACTCCATATTCTGCAGAATGCATTGCGTCAGCAAAGATTTGTTCGAGAGGTTACCATACAGTACAACCTCTGCAATGAGCCTTGGTATGTTGTCTTGAGTCTCCAATCTTTCTGTGCTTTTCTAATATTTTGCTATTTCAAAAAGCGTTATAATTTTTTCAAAACTTTTTTTTTTTTACTCATCTAAATTCTGCTGATACTCATCAGGATCAAGTACAGTATAAGCATTGTAGCTGACAAGGGTCTGAAGAAGTCCCTCTATACATCTGCTCGTTTGAAGAAGGGAGAAGTTTTGTATTTGGAGACCCATTCGCGGAGGTATATTTTGCTTTGCAGTTCCTGTCCTAGATGAGTGATTCCTAATTTCCTATAGGTCTGATTGCTTTTATTTAAATTTTAAACATGAGTGATTGCCTAGATGGTGCATGCAACAAGAATGTGCTTATGTTGTGGAATCAAAGAGAATCGTTGTCCCCTTTTTTTTTTGGGGCCCGGTGAAAGTAGATGTTTGAGGCATTGAACAAAATTTTAGCACTTTCAGTCTTGCTCTAAGTTATAATTTAGTTATTTTATAAGAAAGTAACTGTCTAGTTTACAGAATTCAGAGTCCATTCAGAGTCCTTGGTGGTAATCCTGAAAGGCTTACGGTCTGTTTTCTCCTGGAAGTCTGAGATTTTAAAGTCAAAGACTCATCCTGTGGATTTTCCCCCTAATTATTAGTCAATTCCTTGTAGATATGAGCTTTGCTTTACTGGAGAGAAAATGGTCAAAACACCAGCATTGCAATCACATGACGCAGACATTGAAAAGTCTCAAAATCACCACTCTCATTCTGCAAATGGTGATAAATCTGACAGTGATAACGTCATGATTGATGTATTTCGATGGTCTCGTTGTAAGAAGCCTCTGCCACAGAAAGCAATGCGAACGATTGGGATTCCTCTGCCCCTTGAATATGTGGAGGTACTTCCAAATCACGTATTTCATTCGTTTCACTTGCCTATGAATAACCTCTGTTGAATTCTCCTCTCAATGTAAGAAACTCCTATACAATTTTTTGGAAGTTTGCTGATGCCTCTACTGATTTAATTTCTTTAGTTGGTACGCAGTATGCTTGCTCTGTTATTCCTATTACCAGCTTATTGTTAAACTTGGTTTTCATGTTGTCCAATTTTAGTAACTCGTGAGATTGGTAGTTGAGACGAACTCTTGAGCCTCTCGTGTGTCCCAAAAATTTTTTCCTCTATTTTCCAGTTTCAAGTATATGTAACTCCTTGCCCTTGTTTTAACATTGCAACTTGGTTATTTTGCTCTTTGTGATTTTAGGTATTGGAGGAGAATTTGGACTGGGAAGACCTACAGTGGTCACAGACTGGTGTCTGGGTTGCAGGAAAGGAATATACACTTGCACGGGTGCATTTCTTGTCCATGCATTAGTCCATAGTTTTTCCCTCTCTCTTTTTTTTTTTAAACCTTCAAGTGGGGTGGGAAAATGGGGTAATGTTATATACTATATCACATACAAATTTTTATGTATCTACAACTCTATGCTGTTGTAATTTATAGGGCATAGGAGAATTACTTGCTGTATTTTTTCTTCTTTGTATTTATTTCTGGTTATTCTTGCGTATGGGCCATTATTGCTGGCATTTTAATTTGTCCTATTATTCGTGGGTTGAAATAATAACAAGTTAAATTTTGGGCATGGTCAAGATAGATAGTGACGAGATGAAAGGCTCTTTAGCACCAATTTTTTTTTTAAAAAAAAATACAAAGCATCGATGTTTGTTTTAGGTCAGACTGGGTTAGCATAAGAGGTGCGTGTTTATTGGATTGTTTGAGATAATCTTTCTTTTGCAATGATTTCTTGTAAAACATTAAATTTTACTTGAGGGGTTTTTTACACAAGTCAAAACAAAACTCTCAAATACATATATTGTAAAACAATTTTCAAAAAGTTAATTCAAACACTTAATTTCCTGATACAAATGAAGCTGCTAGTTTCATTTTAGACCTTGATGTTACGTGCAAAATTGTGCATATTCTCATTTTCATATCTCCACATTCTTGACTCCCTTTATGCACAAGAACTTGTGAAGAAAATATTACATGTGATTATTGTAAAAAGTAAGACGCAAAGAATAATTTCACCAGAAAACACAAAATGGAAAAATAACTAGGCGTTCGGATGTACATTTTTATGGCCCGGATGCATGATGTTTGTATTGGTCCTTTTTTTAAAAAATATTTGTCCATTTAGCTGTGGCAGAGCAGAAGGGCGAGAACAAGGCCCAACTTAGATCCCCATCACTGATGCTTGGAGGGATCATTCATCATACCTAAGAAAAAGAAAAGACATAAACATTTGTTATTTTTTAAATACACGATTGTATTACTATAAAAGATCTCTTACATATCTATGCAGGCGCGCGAGTAACTGCTACTTTGAATTTGTTACCCCCCCCCCTCTCAGAGTGTGATATTTAATTTCTTTTCACTAAAAAGATACTTCTATTTAAAATAGAAAGTTAAAACAAGTGACATTTGCAGTATTTGTCATAGTACAATTGAAAATAATCCCTATCACCCCATCAAAGAATTGGCAATAATAAACCTGCTTAGAACAGCTTATAAATAGTTTATAAATAACTTTTCAATAGTGATTTATAAAAAACGAAACAAGTATATAAAAAGAATTTTGTCTCTACTTACGTATAGGAGATTTTTTAAACCCTCCCAAACAGGTCCAATAGCTTATGTTTTTTAACAACCAAACTAAATTACAATTGGCCCATTCCCTAGAATGACGTCAAATATCCAGCTCTGGTTGCTTACAAAGCTCTCACCATAGTAGATCCTATTTATCAAAAAGAGCAAAAATAAAAAGCACTAGATCCCTATTCTCCCAAGTGTGGTTCCTCATCACGGCTTTAAGATCGCCGTAACATGGACACCATGCATTACATATCTAACCAAATAGAAATTTAATGCGAGTGCCCCCTGAAGTTAACTTACTGATAGCATGAGTCTGATGCATCAAACTCGCCTGATATTAACCGACACCCCCCCCCCCCCCCAAAAAAAAAAAAAAAACACCCATTACATTTCTATTGTGACTAAAAAAGGGCTTGATTAAGTTAGACGGCCTTCCACAACAAACCCAAAAGTTTGAGTTATCAGTCACGTTACTTCTGGTGCTCCCAAAGAGTCACCACTCATTCCATTTATTCAAGAAGTCATCCCACATGGCTGTAGCCATTGAATCCCTTATGGAGAATGCAAGTTGCTCTTCCATTGAAGAAATCAATTGAACACCAGGAAGTTCATCAACATCTGACATCTCATCCACTGGTGCTTCTCCGACAGTGCTAAACAGCCAATCATTTCTTTCATGCTGGCGTATGAAGTTATGCAGAACACATGCAGCTATCACAATGTCCCTCTGAACTTGAAAAGAATATTGTGGAGCAAGCTTGAGAATAGGAAATCTGGTTTTTAACACATTAAATGACCTCGCTATGGCATTTCTCAGACAACAGTGCCTGTGATTGAATAGCTCCTTTGCATTTCTGGGTAATTGATTAGCACCTCTGTACTCATAATGATGGTACCGAACCCCTTGAAAAGGAGCAATAAAGCCTCCCATATTAGAGTATTCCATATCAACAAGGTAATATTTTCCTGTAATAGTTTCAAAGAAAATAGTTCAGAGATGGTACCTACTTAAAACGTATGTTATAAGGAATCATACGACTACCAAACCTTCAGGAACTTGGGGGAAATTCTGATCTGGGTCATCAAGAACTGCCCTTAACACACGCGAATCAGTAACAGATCCTTCCCAACCAGGATAAATGAATATGAATTGGAGGTCAAATGTGCAAGCTGCCAGCACATTTTGAGATAGTAAACCTTTCTTATTACGAAATCGAGACTGGTCTTTGGCCGGGACATGTGCAGGAATATGCATGCCATCAATTACTCCAATACAATCCTGAATTAAAAGGCACGTGCAATGTAACATAGGAAAAACTTGAACAGAGAATATAGAAGATGAAGATTAGTTATCAAACAAACCTTGAAATATGGATAAAATCTGTGGCTACTGAGAATTTCTGAAGATGTGGTGGTGTCATGAGGTTGCAAGAATTCACGTGACAAGGACTTAATAGCCTTCAACACATTGTTAAAATGTCGGCTAATGGTTTCACCAGAGTGCTGAAACCGCTCTTGAATCACTCTATTGCGTTCATTATGACCAATGATGTTTAAGAATATTGTCAACTGCTCCTCTATCATCACACCAGCAGTGTCACGCAACAAGGATCTTTGTCGGAGAATGTCACACAACTTGTGGAAAACATGCTTGTCCATTCGCAACATTTCCCGACTGAAGTCATCATGCGCATTCAGCATTTCAGTCATAAATCCACATCTTCTAGGTGATAAACTACGGTGAGGTTGTTTGGTTATACAGTTATAATAATAGTAGCCGGCAGCTGCTGCAACTAGCTCCATCTCATTCAATTCTAAGTCAATGTCATCCACGCTGATTGATGCATCTGAAAAGATAAACCTCAAGGATGCGAATGGCTCAAGATAATAAATTTCTAGTATATCAATTTAATGACTTTACAAAGTTTCCCAACCAACGTATAAAAGGATATGTCAAACAACGTTTCAACTAAAAACTGCTATTTTAGCATTCAAAATATCATATTGTTAAAACTAGAAAAAGATGTAGGCATTACCCACAAATCAAATTGATCACTACCATAACTTTTTGGCACTACACTTCATTTTACAAAAGTATAGGATCGAATTTAATAAAAGAGCCAGTTTTCCAAACATTTCAAAAAGAGGAAGCACCACACTTGCCCTGCAACCACAACAATCTTTTCTCACTCTTAAGAGAGATAAAAATCTCTCGAGCAATAGGCTTCTCAAATAAATCCAAAGCAAGAAAGTAGATCCGTTCATCAACACCTTGCATCTCATCCAATATTTTGATGCATTTGCTTATAGAGAATCGGTCCTCATTCTTCATAATTGCATTTGCTCTCATCTTTGAAACAGCTGCTATTTCCAGCATGGCGTCCACTATAGCATCCCCAGTAGCTTTGCGACTTCTCTTCCGACGACCGGAACTTGATGGCACACCAGCCTGACGCTTGTGTCCATCTAACATATGCACATCATCCCCAGAGCCCGAAGATGCATCCTCCTCCCCAAAATTCATTGGCACTGTATGATCAGTATATATGCCTTAGATGGCAATGCATAATAAATTAGACTTCCACCTCCTAATAAAAACAGTGAAAGACTGATAATCTAAACCCAACAAAGAATTTAAACAACACAAAGCAGACCAAGATAACAGAAATAATCAAACCATATAGCAGGTTAAATGGATGAACTCAATAGGCATGCAACCCTAAAACATGGCAGGACCACCTACACTTCCTAATGAAAACATTCTTCATCCTTTTTATTTTCTTTTGCTTTTTTGTTAATAGAAGCTTTATTGGAGAAGGAAGAATATCTAATAATTATTAGACCATCATTGATAGACTAACTAAATCAGCCACCTAAACCCAATCTTCAGAGAACTATCCGGTTCCTTCTCGATCAGTTACAACGCCAAACAATGCTTCAAAACGGATGAAAAAATTCAAGCGCAGCCGGAACATCCACTTTATCAAGCCCTCAACCCAAATGTTCCTTAAAAGGAAGAAAAAACCACCAAAAAGGCTCAAATCCTTTTTTTTTTTTTAAATAATAATAAGCTTGGGAGTTAATGGTGCAAACATCAGCAAACTAAAATTCAATCATCCAATAGGATCACTATTTGCCACCGGCTTACGATCACCTTGAGCAAGAATTATAGAGTCAAATCATTGAGATAAAAGGTCAGAAATTTGCATTAATCTCTTTAATTTTCTGAGCATGAATCAGAAGTGAGAATAGAGAGACATACAGTAGAGAGGAGTGAAAACTCACCGTCGTCTTCACAAAGTGGGAAATTTTCGTAACGAAGGTTTACAAATTTCTCGAATCAGAGATAGGGTGCGAGAGGAAATAAGAGTGAACAGTGGCATTGGGGATTAGGGTTTAGGAACATGTCAAATGGTCAATTCTTCCTTCCTCTTGTTTTTTTTTTTTGTGCGCGCGTGCGTGCGCGTTTGTTTGGGTCACGTGTCAAACGGTCAATTCCAGCGAGCGGAGTTTCAAAATATGTAGTTTAATTACTTTATGGGTTTTTTGGCAAAAAAAAAAAGGGAAAATTACAAAAAAAGACCTTGAAATTGCAAAAACGCAGATAGGGACCCTTGACAACTTCACTATGGGTTTTGACAACTTCAGGGCATATTATTCTTGTCAAAACCCATAGTGAAGTTGTCAAGGATCCCTATCTGCGTTTTTGCAATTCCAAGGTCTTTTTTTGCAATTTCCCCAAAAAAAAATACTTCATGGGTTAATTAATAGTATTTATTTTTGTATAACTTTATTTTTAAAATATCTTTCAGTAGCATTTAATTTTGAGTGTAATTTTGCTCTAAAAATTTTCTCAATATATAGAAATTATAAAATATTATAGAATATATAAGGTAAAAAAATATTTTAAAATACAACATTATTTTATTTAAAGTTTAGAAATAAAATATTATTTTCATTATATGTTCTATTTTTATATAAGAATATTAAAAGGAAGATAAAAAATACAGAAAAAATTGTAAAAAAATATCTTGAAAATTAAAAAACTGCATATAAAGGCTCTTTCACAAAAATTATTGTCATTTACTTATCAATTGTTGTCAAAATCAATACTAATATTGTAACGTGTTTTTATTTATAATTTTTCTATTTTTGAGCTCTTTTTTTTTACTCCCCAAGAATATATTTATTTATAAAAAGAATTATACTAAGCAACTATATAAATGATGAATATTTATATTTTGGCTAAATTATAAATATGAGGTAAAAATAAATAAGATCTTAAATTTATGAAGAAATCTAAATTCCAAATTAACTCTTCTACTGCCTCATGTCCTTAATATAAAATCTACTTAACTAATTTGGATAGATTAAGAAAAGTAGTTAAATTAGTTATTTGTTAAAAATATGTTAGTTTACCTACCATACCCTTTTAAATCATGTGGATTAAAACTAACTTTTGATGCAAACTTTCTTAAAATATGCGATCAATAGGGTTAGTTTTAGATAAATAAGAAGGACAAAATGAATTTAGACCTTAGTTTGAATAAATAAAAGGGACAAAATGAATTAAGATATTATATTTAGCACTAAATTCCATCCCTCTACAAGTTCTTATATTAAACACCAGAAGTAATATCAGGAATAGCATGAGATATTCCCATGACATTTTTCCTGCGTACATATTATCATCCGAATTCGTCTGCCCCTCTAATTTTCCTTCCATTCTGGTCTGTTATTTTGCATCGAGTGAGATTCGCTGTTTTATGCATTTGGAAATGATACCGTCATCTCTTGGTAATAGATAGATAGTCCAAACAAGAACTCTAGATAATACAGGGCCTTAATCATATTTTGGCCTATAGTTTTCATTATTACTATGATTATAATGTGATAATGCTATTATGTGCTCCTCTTTTATTTATATTACTCCTCCGGTCCTTAATATAGGACCCATTTAACTAATTTGATTAGATTAAGGAAGTTAGGTAAGTTAGTTAATTATAAGAAAAGTGACACATTTTTTCTAAAACACCGTAATCATCTTTTTTAATACCTCATCTCCCTCTTCTATTTGATTATGGTTGAGGGAGTATCTATAGGGGTAATTTAGAGAAAATTGATAAATATGAGAAATGGGTCTTATATTTAGGACTAAAACCAACTCAAGAATTGGGTCATATATTAAGGACCGGAGGAGTATATAAATATATATATTCATGATTTTGCAGCTAAAATTTTGTCCTCAGACTACATGGAGGATTATTCGAGGAAAAGACAGAGCCGGCTGGAAGAAATGCAGAAGCTAGCTGAATTTTCTTCGCCATGCATGCCCCCACATGGGTTCTACAAGTCTATGGTTGAAGATCCATGGCAGCTTTTGAAACCTGGCTCAAATGCATATATATATATATATATATATACACACACACACACAAACTACCAATTATAATAACTCGTTTATAAATAAAATCTTACAATTAAGATAGATTTTATAATTAGGATTAAAAATAGCGTGTGTACGCATATAAATGGGAAGAGTTCAAAATCGTGGGCCTCAAAAGTCATCAAGTTTAAATAATGAAGGACGATCTTCTGCTGCTGCATTGAAGTCCAGTTCTCAACCAAGCCTTGCTCAGTACTTGGCTGCGGCATTCAATGGAGCTGCAAATGGCACAGAAAATTTATGATGGTGGGGAGAAGAGAAATACAACAAGATCCCCAAAAAAATTACAAAAACAAATTTCAAAGGTTATGATTTTCTATTCTAAAACTTGTTACTCCTCCGGTCCTTAATATAGGACTCAATTGTTGAGTTGGTTTTGATCCTAAATATAAGACTCATTTGTCATATTTATCAATTTTCTCTAAATTACCCTTATGAATACTCCCTCAACCATAATCAAGTAGAAGAGGAAGATGGGGTATTAAGAAAGATAATTATGGTATTTTAGGAAAAATATGCCACATTTCTTATAATTAACTAACTTATCTAACTTCCTTAATCTAATCAAATTAGTTAAATGGGTCTTATATTAAGGACCGGAAGAGTATTATATACTGTTTAAATTGTTATTATGACTTTTTAATAATTATTTTCCTTTCTTGGGACCTCATATAATTCTTCTTGGTTGGGAGCTTCATAAAGATCCTAACATATCATACTGTTATGTAGAAAAATTGTATTATTTCTAGAAGTGTGAATTGGCTAGTTAGGCTTAGACATGTTCATGAACTCAATGTTTAATTTTGATTTTTTTTAATATTTTGTTAATCTTATTAAAAAGTACTATCTTGATCTTTAATATAAGAGCTAGTTGATTAATTTGAGTAGATTAAAAAAACTAGTTAAATTAGTTATTTGTAATAAATAGGTGTTGTCTTTTTTAAAATATCTTTACTAATAAATAATATTGACTAAAATTATCATTATTACAAGAACAATTTTAGAAGAAGAAAAAAGATAAATATGTTAAACAAAATAGATTGAGATCTTATATTCAGAATCAAAATAAAAATCAAATAATCTTTTATAATAGAAAAGGAAGGTAGTACTGGTCAGTGGGATAATCAGAATATTTTGTGCATTTGGCTCACTGATTGGAAAATTAGACTAACTTTATACAAACCCAATTTCGATATATATATTTGTTTGGGCAAACCATAAAAAACTGGGTTTAAAAAAGTCAGAAAGACACCATTGATGGGGGAGCAATACGGAGAGTGCGTGGCCTCATCACCGAAGTGACACGTGGTGTCCCGTAAGACCGCTATTGTCATCGGTGCCAATCCAGATGAGGAAACTTAAAGAAAATTTTGTCAAATTTGCCGTGCCAAACATATTACGTTCGTTTGAAAATACTCCTCCGGTCCTTATATAAGATCCATTTAACTAATTTGATTAAATTAAAAAAGTTAAGTAAGTTAGTTAATTATAAGAAATATGACATGTTTTTCCTAAAATACCATAATCATCTTTTTTAATACTTCCTCTCCCTCTTCTACTTGATTATGGTTGAGGGAATATCTATAAGGATACTTTAAAAAAAATTGATAAATATGTGAAATAAGTCTTGTATTTATAACCAAAACCAACTTAACAATTGAGTTCTCTATTAAGGACAGGAGGAGTAATAGGAAAGAAACTTTTTTTTTTTTTGCTCAAATTTTGTGCCCTGCATATATGCACAATTATGTTAGTTTTGTTTGGTTTAAATGCATTCTTCTCGGAACCATAGCGATAGTTATTTTTCTGCAGCAAACGGAAGGAATCCACATTCATATTTTACACTGGACCTGTGATTAGCTTTTCATAAAGGCCAACAAAAGGAAAGAAACATATCACCTGGGAAACCCAACCGCCTCATTAGCAATACAACAAATAGCTCTGCATGAGCTAACCACAAAATTATTCAAACCACCCAATATACAACAATGATTGTGTTTGATTTTTGTTCTGTAATTGATTCCATGAAACCAAAATTGATAACCGATACTATAATGACAAAGCTGCTAAATACAGCATCAAACCCAAGCAGTAACCCCATTGATGATAAGCATCCTCATCACTTTCAGGGTTCTTTGATAATTAATGGAGCTTTTCAACAAACGCCAAAAAGGTTTTTTTCTGCTCACTTGGATCACTCAGTCCACCTGTGAGGTTTCATATTGGGGTAAAGTCCATGGACATGCTCCTCCATGAAGTCATGGCGTGTCAGAATCCCAACAACGGGAGGTCTCTGCAATATGCAAGGAATATCAGCATATTTTGCTGGCAAACTTATCAGGTAAACTAAGCCTTACTAATATAGTCAATATAAAATATGAAATCTTTTGCAAGGTACATTATTCATAAGTCATGAACAGTGCAATTTGACTTAAAATCTATGCAGTATACAGAAAATTTGCCTAGTTATAAATACAAAAGCATGTTAGCACCGGCAATAATTGTGTTCATGGTAACGGATTTAACATCTCTTAAGCAGAATCTCGAGTTTAAGCCTTGTGAATGGAGGGAAAAATACATGATGGGAAAAGGTCCCCCGAATAGAACGTGACTAGGCTCGAATCTGATAAGTTGGAAATACCATATACCTCTAATTATTAGGAGAGAAATTCAATTTCTGCCATGCTCATAAATATCTTTATTATTAACTTATCCTAATTTCCTTATGCTTATAGTTTTAGCCAAAACTGATTAGAAATAAACATGCAAGCATACTACTACTCATCTAAGTGGGATCTCAATTTATATGTCTATTTATGAATAGTTCGGTTGATCTAATTTTAATACAGACAGTAGTAAAGGAAGAGAGAACCATACCCCTTGACTCTTGGGGACCACACACATGTGCCTAAGACCAAGTTGACGGAAAAGAATAGCGGCTTTAGCAAGTGACATGGTCTCAACCACTGTGTATGGGGATGCATTCGAAATTGGGTGAAGATCAACATACATATCCATCTCTTCCTCTTCAATATCTAGATCCTCTAGTTTGATTCCTTTCCCCGATCCTGCCTTTGCAAAATCTAATGCAGAAATTCTTTGTAAGATGTTTCGACTTGCAAGCACCCTCTCTTTTGAGAAGGTCTTCCCCTTCAATAGGACTAGCAGATGAGACCTAAGAACAAGCCCACACAACTCTGGTGCATCTGAGAATGGCGGTTCATCGATGACAGGAAACCCATTATGACCTGTGGTTTTCAGAGCATGTAGTATATTCCCTACTCTTTCAATGCCCGAGAAAGTGACTAATGGGCCAGAGACAACATCTCGTGCAACTAAATTCCTCATATAAGGTTCTGCATGGGCCTCCATATATGGAAGTCCTTTGATCTTCAGTATTTGATCGTAGACACCCTTGTTGAAGCCATCAGCCACAGTTTTTGAGATTAACAAGACCAACATCACAAGAGGAAGTAACAAGAGATCATTGGTGAGTTCTAGCAATATAACACAAAGGGATACTGTCATTCTCATGGTGCCACCAAGGAAGGAGGCAGCTCCAAGGAGGGCGTATAATCCAGTATCAAGTTTTGAGATCGATTCAAATAGTCTCCCTACCAGCCGGCCATATGCAGCACCCGCCAATATCACAGGAATGAAAAGGCCGGATGGAATAGCAATACCATATGTGACTACCCCAAGAAAGTAAATAGTTACAAAGAAGATAAAGAGACTGGAGATGTGGAATTCCTGGAATGTCCTCGTGCTGAATAGGTTGCGAATAGCATCATCATTTGTATTTAGAAAAAGAGAAGCGAGATCATTGTAATATCCTGGTGGACATTGAAAGTTCTTGTAGTTGCCAGACTCATCAACAGTGGGACAGCTTACTGTCGGATCATCAGGACAAGGGATGCACGTTGCCAACCATGGTAAGCCGTAAGCACAGCATGAGGTCAAAAAAGCAATTGCGACAACAATGAGAATTTTGAAACCTGGACCTTTTCTGCATTGGTTTGCATGTTATGATATCATCAGTGATGATGGAAAAATAGACAATAAATGCCTAATAAGAACCAAACTCAAATGCAAAGACATACTCGTTCAGGATGCTATATGTCCGAACAACCTTATCCACAAAGTAATTATATATGCTTCCGAGAATGCCTCCGAGGGTTCCTAAGAGTAATACTGCTAGTATGTCAGCACCATTGTATGATACTTTGGCTGCACTGACATCGTACATTATCAAACCACCTTCACCAAAGAGCCCACATTTCCCAGTGGCACAGAACTGAATTCCGGCTCTCAAAACAATAGCAACTACTGCGGTAGTGAAAAATGTCCTCCAAAGGAGAGCACTCCGCCACCTAAAGCACATCACAGAAATAATAAATACGACTTTTTCAACAAAAGTACAGAGTGCTTGAGAAAATCATAAAATATACCCAATAAATTTTTGCACGGACTATCTCTGACAGAAAAAGGTGCTAAGTATATCCTCTGCTTCAACTTCTTTAAAAGCTAAAATCATTGATAAAATCATAAAACAGTTGCAGAATTCTCAATATGAATTTTCAAAGCAAACAATTTTACATACATATTGCCAAGAAATTGGACTGGATGGTATGGAGTGAAACCAGTATGGCAATCTTTTGTGCATTGCAAGAGAGAACTAATGCTCAAAATTAATAAACCAAACCATCAACACCATTTTATTAAGATAATTTGAAATGTAAACAATATGCAAGAAACAAGCAGAAATATTAACAGCTTTTCCTTTTGGTAACTGGATTTTCAGGTGCTTGCTTCTTTAAAGCTCTTTGTGCCCAATCGTATTCTTGCTGACCAGAAAGTTCGCCTTCTTAATACTCATAGGTTGGGTACCATCGCATCCATAAAAACTTCAGATTTTTACAAATGTTGCTTTAATTTCAAATAATCCAATCATCAAGTGTCATCAACAATTTAATTATATTGAAGTTGTTCATGCAATAAGTTTCGTTTTAGTATTAATTCTGTCGTGTATTTATTTAGCATTAACATTGACAACATACAGTAAATATGCTTTCTATTTTGGTGCCTTTTTCATATGACAGAATCTCAAATTTCATGTTTTGTAACATCTCAGCATAATATTCTATTAACAAAGTGTTGAAACCAAATAAAGATTACGGCATTCTGCTTACCTTGTCCACAAGCCAAACAGAAATCTAACCAAGAAATTAAGATGTCATACGCCAACTTTTTTTTTTTTAAGATGGAGGTCGTTCCATTAAAGCAACAGATGAAGAGCAAAGAGATTACTGAAGCTAATATTTATAAACTACTATTTATCATTAAAAAACCTTTGCAGGCTGGATTTTTTTTCCCCAGTGCCAACATTTATTTGAGATTCATGGTTCTAATGATAGGTCATACACTGATCTATTTTTACCCCATATTAAACATCTATCAATATTCTACCACTCACTCTGCATTGAGTATATCCAAGAAATTGGAAGATTGATAAAGAAATTTTATAGTTGCATTACTGCCTAGTTTAAGCCAGATGTCAAACAGTAATCAAATATAAATTCGCAAAAAAATTAAAGTCAGAAAAGGAAGCATAATAGCACAATTGCAGTAGAAATAGATACCAGGAAGCGGCCTCTTCAAGGGCAAAGAGAACACCACCTACTGGAGCACGAAATGCAGCAGCAACACCAGCTGCAGCGCCACAAGTAATCATGTCTCGCCGGTCTCGATCATTTTTGAAATATCTTAGCCCCATCCAAGTCAAGCGATACTTGCGCGATCCACCCTGCCCTAACAAGGAAGCAATGCATGCACCTGTGTGTACCATAGGCCCCTCTTTGCCCACCGCAAATCCAGCAGAAACTCCAAGGATGGCACCAAAAACCTGTCACAGATGAAATCATGAGTTTTATAGATAACGTTAATATTTTAGTAAAAGATCAAAGGAAACAAATAGAAGTTTGAGTTCTGTTCTTAACACCAAAAAAATGTAAGAATGAAAATAAAAATGATAAGAGCAAGAAATAGTTTTGTGGAATTATATCATTATTCACCTTCACAAAAAGAGTGGTTGGAGCCAGTATATTATGAGCATCAATACCATTGAGATAGGCTTTCACCTCAGGAATACCAGAGCCTGCTGCAGCTGGAGCAATGAAAGCACAAAGAGATCCAGCCGCCGCTGCTAAACCTATATTGCAACCAGCTAATGCCACAAATGCTAGAATGTATCTGTACTGAAACTACTATATTGTGAGAATAAAGGGAGGCAATGTTGTGAAAAAGCTATGCATGCAGTTTAGCTTATTCTGTCAAATAATTTCCACCAAGCCAAATGCTAGATAGCATTTTTAGGGGTGGATGCATCTTAAATATGTCAACTCTTTCTCCAATAAAAACTAAGACCAATTGGAAATAAAGGTAAATGGAAAATGATTAACCGCCAAATTTTTTCATTGCTTGTTTGTAAGGGAAAAAAAATTTAATTATCTTGGGATTTTCAAACAATATTGTCATTCCTACTGAGTGTCAGCAAAGTTTTTTTTAATGAAAAAAATTTGAAAAATGAAATAAAAGTGCCCGAAGCATATAAGGAGTATTAGCTGTGACAAGAATGCAATACATATCACATGTACACCATTTTCTAGTCATGAATGAGGGGATCGATCAAAAGGTAAGAGACCTTAATCTTGACAGAATTCTGCAAATCATGCTATAAGCAAATAATACACATCTTATCTAACGCATAGTTACTAGCAACACAAGCAGCATATGCCGCAGGCAAAAAATAAACAAGCAGCATACGCCAAATAAAGTTTTGGCTAAAATGTTATTAAATGTTAAGAATGCAGAGTTGGTAAACCAAGGAGCAAGCTCACCTGTGCTGGGACATGAGGTTGGACGCCAGAAGCAGCTTGAAACCAGCAATATTCTCAACGGCAATATTATTGAGGAAGGCAAGTAGACCAGTGCCTAATCCAATAAGAGCAGCAAATGCCCACTTAAGTATCACATACTGGAATATCTGAATCTTGCTCCTTGATCTCCAGTCCTGTTTAAATATTTCATTCTCAAATATCCTGAAATAACAGAAACCTTATCACTTCCTACCACTAATGGATCTGCCAAAACAGTTACAAAAATTCCAGAGTTTATAATACAGTGAGGTACTCAGCTTTCTGATTTTTTTTTTTTTAATTTTCATTATTTACTTCAGTGGATTGTTACAATGGGAATCATGTGCTGAGGGAAACTTGCAAAGATGTATAAAGATGGGGGAAAAGAAAAAAGTTCATATAGTTGCGAACATATAACCGGGCAGGAAAAAGCGCTTAAGACATAGATATAACACTTCAACCTAGCGTCCAAAAGGCAGAAATGCCCAAGACGGCTAAGTATAAGAAATAATGACTAGAAAGACCATCACTCTAGAAAATTGGCAGAGCCTTTTTTCATTTTGGTGGTGATCTGAAAATTGGCAGTCTTTATTCCTTCTTTAACCAATTTTACATAATATCTGTTGGTGCATTAATTTTACAAATCCAGAATCTGTTTTGAGCGATAGAATTATCTAGAACTGAATAAATGATAGAATTATCTTAACTCAAATGGCATACAAGGTACTTACTCATAATCAAGGCTTTCAATGGGGCTAAGGTTGGCACCAACTATGGCGATCTGCGAGGTGGTGTTGATCCTCTTCACCAGAAGTGGCTCTGTATATGTCATGTTTCTTTCAGAAAACTCTGACCAGTACCTCCCATTGTCCTTCCTATCCACTGGACCTTCGTTTTCTATGTCATTCACATCATCTCCATGATTCACATCATTTTCATTCTCCATCTTATTAACAACTGCACTTTTCGCTTTTGCAAGAATCTAATTTTAGCATATGTAGTAAGTATACCTGCAAGCAGAATCACATTATTATAAGCATAGTCAGATGCCTTCCCACAGGCATTCAAAGAGTCAACACATAACAATTCTTCTCTCTTTATTATTTCTCATTAAACTTTCTTGATTTGCATCGAAAACATGATTAGGAACCAGAGTTATCAACTTAGCGATGCAAAGTCAATGGAAACTTCGATTACTTCAAGAAACTGCATTCACAATAGTAAAGTTAGGAATTTTGATGAAGACAAGTGCCAAAAGAGAGGACAGGTTGGATGCAATGAGAATCAAACCAGCAGATGCGGACTCTAAATTTTCTATAAAGTTATACGTGAAACAAAAAAGATGACATATGAGTCAATTCTAAAACAGTGCAAGAAACATGACAAACTATCGGTGTGTTTGAACTAGATACCCATATTTTCATAAAGCGACTGAGATCGCTTTGGGAAAAAGGAAGAAGAAAGAACAGGATGAAATCAAATATATTTGATTATTAGTCAAATCTAATTCCTACTTTACACGCATAAATATAATAAGAGAGAAAACACAAAAAGGGCCTGGCGCAAGATTAAGTGATAATGAGAGAAAAAGGGGGAAAAAGAAGCAGCAACATCAGATTGTTCAGTCCTTACAGTAATGAAATCGCCTTCCGCAGACTCCCCAAGGATCACCTGAAGGCTTGCTATTGGATCGCCAGACGGTAAGTCAAACCACTCCACCAAGGTCCAATGACGGGAAAGTATGAAATAATAGAAACAGAAGCAGCTCAATAATTCATTTCAATATATACAACAAAGACCCTCTTTGTTTTTCCGTTCGCTGATTATTGCTGAAATAGCAGCCACAACCAGCGCGAGACGAAGAAAGAGGGACAAGACCCTGAAATAATGGAACCTTTGTTCCAAATGGTAATTTCACAACTAGTTTGCGTTGTTCACTTGTTCTCATCCACGTCTCAGCCTCAATCAGGATTGCACTAATCTGCCAGAGGCAAACCACTAATTTCCCTCCTTACATACTTAAAAATATCAACTTTTCAACCTACTTTACTTTAAATTACCTACCGTCTACATGGATTTATCAGGTTCAGATGCTAGTTTTTTTCTCTGGTCGGAGCCCTCCACATGAAGCAAGCTTATCGTAATTAATAAATTATTGATATTCGTTGAAAATGACGGGCGGGAAGTCAAATTTCTGACAGCGAAGCGTGCTTATCGTAACAACAGGAATTTTAACTTTCTTGTGTTGCTTACTTAAATCGTTTTCCTCTGGGGTTTACACAAATGAGTGATTACCGTAAAGGAGATTTTGGGGTCAGGTTTTTGCTTAGTTGGTCCGTCCGAAAGAGACAAGCGGGGTTTGGTGCACCATGTTCTTAAATGTGCAATAGAAGCAATAATGGTATGGGCCACCACGTGTGTTCTCTGCTTGATGATGTGAAATCACGTGTTTATTGTATTAATATCAGCATAAGATCTATTACAACATTATTTTACTCTTGTTTAATTAATACTCCTCCGGTCCTTAATATAGGACCCAATTCTTGAGTTGGTTTTAGTCCTAAATGTAAGACCCATTTTTCATATTATCAATTTTCTCTAAATTACCCTTATAGATAACCCCTCAACCATAATCAATAGAAGAGGGAGAGGGGTATTAAAAAGATGATTATGGTGTTTTAGGAAAAACATGTCACTTTTTTTATAATTAACTAACTTACCTAACTTCCTTAATCTAATCAAATTAGTTAAAAGGGTCTTATATTAAGGACCGGAGGAGTAGTTCATAGCTCTGTTTGGCATCGTGATTAAAATAATTTAGAAACACATTTTATTTATTAAAGTCGAAACAAAATTCATCTCGCATATTTATCTTATAATTAAAATGCTGCATATAAGTCATTCCGAACAGACCACAATAACGATAATCAAATTATTTATATGAAAAGGTCAAGGAAAGATTGTTAACCCAAGTGATCAAGATTTGGATCATATAAAACAAGGATTTGAGTTTAGTTTTGCTGAGAACATGATTGATGGGAAGCACGTAGATTATTTTATAAACATTTATTGAAGAACTAAGCAAACTAAACGCAACATACTTAAGTTGTGGATATCATGGCCATCAAAAAGATATGCATGATGTTCTCATCATAAAGTGTTTATTATAATTTGAACCGTCCCCCATTAATTCTGAATGTTCCGTAGTCAATTTAAATTTTGTATATTTTAAATAATTTTTATTTTAATAAATATAAAATTTAAAACATAAATAATTTTATAACTGACACTTTTTTTTAAAAAAATAAATTTACCGTAAATTAAGTTTTAGACTGTCCAGATTTCTTTATAGTAATGAGCACACGAGATGTAATGAGTATTAAATAAAGACTCCTCAAAATATCCTTAAAATATTGTTGCTTTACTCTCAGGTAGAAAATATGTAAAGTTCAATCATATTCAAAATCATTGATTTAACTGGCTTGGCGATTAGTTTACCGGTTTGCTAGTTACATCGGCCACCTCTTTTTTAGTTTTAGTACTATGGTTAAGCAAAACATACTGAAAAAAATTACCCTGATCAAATTTTAATTTATGAAATAAATCAAATTAATTATTACCTCTAGTCATTATAATATCTAGCAATTTATATTACAAATTAGATCTTATATTTAAGAACAGAGATAATATTACTTATAACAAAAACAATGTTTATGAGAATTTTTAATGCAATTTATTCTCATAGCCAGCTCAAGAAGAAGTTATCTACAACTGGGTGTTGCGCTGGGTTTCTACGTGATTGGCAGGTTTTGGTGTACTTCTTGAATTTCATCCGTTGGATGGGCTCAGGAAGGGTTTGATTTGTTTAATCTTTGACAATGGTTCCGCCCGCGGCATCTTTATGTGGAATGAAATTAAATTGGAATTTTTTTTTAGGAAAAATTTCAATAAAACCCACTTGAAATACCTAAGACCTATACTTTTAACATATCCCTGATTAGGACATGAGCCCTAATTTAAGACTTCTGAAAGTTGTTAAATAATCAGAATAAATCTTTTAATTAAAATGAAAAATCGATTATTTTACTCCCCAAATGATCTCTTACTTCTTACTGTTATTTTTAGAACTAAAATTTTTTTTTAGTGTTTAAAATTTGTGTATATATAAATAAAATCTTTAAAAATATTTTAATAAAAAATTTTAAGTTTGAACATAAATGGCCCTAAAATAAATAATTTTATTTTATGTGTCTAGATATTTATTTTAAGGACATATTTTAATTATAAAAAATATTTAATATTGTGCTTATAATTTAAGTTAGTTTTATTTATTTAAGCAAATATTGAATTCTAACCCAAAAGCGTAATTTGAAACAACTTAATATAAAATATTTCTTGTAATTAAAATATTTTAAAATCTTAAAAATAAATATTTACAACCTGAAGATATAAAATATTTATTTAAAGGTACTTATATTGTAATTTAAAATCTTTGGTTAAAATATTTTTAAAGGTTTTAGTTATATATACAAATTTTAAACATTATAAAATTATTTATGTGTTTTTTAGTTACAACAAATAATCATAAAAGGAAAGAGTAATCATTTGGGAGGGATAAAACAATCAATTTTTTTCAATTAAAGAGGGGCATTATGGTCATTTAACAATATTAAAAAATTCCTAATGAGGCTTCATGGCCTAATTAAGAATTTATTAAAAGTATAGACCTGAATTTGAATTTAAGTATTTTAATTGGATTTAATTAGGATTCTCCCCTTTTTTATGATAAATCATTATATGTCGATTTTATTTTTTTTTTTTGCATTTTTAGAAAGTGATGTTTTGGGTGCTTTTTACATTGGGAAGATGACATAAAAACAAGTTAAAATTTGTAATATTTTAATTTTGGTACTTAAGGCTTCAAAATTTCAGAAAAAAAGTAATGTCTGATTGGGTATTTTGTAAATGTAATTAAATAACAAAAATGTATTTGTATCAAAAAGTTTATTAACAAGTTGTGAATTAATAATGATAAATATTGAACAGCTCATGAAAAAAATGTACTGGTAATTACAAATTTGATAATTTCTTTTTTTAAAAATAATATAAAAATATTTTAGTTATTTGACTGTATTTACAAAATACCATATTAGGTACTATTTCTTTTTTTGAGATTTTGAGCTCTTAGGTTTCTAAATTGGAATATTATAATTTTCATCTTCCTTATATATCACTTTCCCTTTTCAATATCATTTTTTCTTCTTATCTATTAATATATGTATTTCTTGTATTTGCATATACCAAACATCCATTTACTTTGGCCCACATTTTTCTTTTTTGGTTTTTATTTCTTTTTATCAAAATTCGATATACCTTATTTCAGGCCCTAATTGTATGTTCTTGTTGACAAATATGAAATATCTCTCTTCCCGTGAATGTGGTATTTGTTCAGGGAACCAACCCCCTTTCCATCATCATGGTAAATAACACTACGTTGTCTCATTTTCTCGTGGCAGGCCAAGTTTGTTAAGTTTGAATCACAGATGGCAGCTCTTTGACCATTAAGTATTGTTTTTTCTTGCCACAATGCATGTTTGTTTTTATATACTATTTCTAATTCCTAATATAAGAGCCAAATAACTAATTTAAATATATTAAAAAAATAGTTAATTTGATTATTTGTCACAAATATGTATTAGTCTTACTAAATTATCATTTTTAACCATGTGCATTGAAGCTACTCTTTGATGAAGACACCTTATAATTAATAGGGATATTTTGAGAAAAATTGAGAAATAAAGTAAAATGAAGTTTTATATTTAAAACCTAATCTAACTTAGGAAAAGAGAATACTCAGCAAAAAATAATTACTCCTCCGGTCCTTAATATAAGACCTAATTATTGAGTTGGTTTTGATCCTAAATATAAGACTCATTTATCATATTTATCAATTTTTTCTAAATTACACCTATGGATACTCTCTCAACCATAATCAAGTAGAAGAGAGAGAGGAGATAGTAAGAAAAATGATTATGGTGTTTTAGAAAAAAATGTGTCGCATTTCTTATAATTAACTAACTTACCTAACTTTTTTAATCTAATCAAATCAGTTAAATGAGTCTTATATTAAGAAGCGAAGGAGTATTTCACTAGACATTGCATAAGATGCGGTGGAAAAGAAAACGATCCCAAAACGACGATCAACGCGGCCGCAAATATGACATTTGGTTGTATCTACGCGTTTTTTAACCCCAAGTACTTATATTTTTTATAAACAATTTATTTTTGTCATAATAATGAGGTTCAATGTCTTTTTGACAAATATGCTATGCACACTAAAAAAAAAAGAGGGATGGGATTATTGAAAAAAACATATTTTATAAAAGAATTCTGTCTCTCTGTTTTATTTGTAAGAAACAACTTTTTATCTAGAGTACTTATCTGTTATCATATTTTCCTATGCATTTTTTTGTTATTCAAACAATTAAAATTAATATGTCAGAAATAATGGGCATTTTATGGGATGGGGGTTATGAATAGCAGGAAGGACTTTTTAGGATTTGGATATTATTTTTCATGGTTTAAAATTACTAATATTTATTCTCTTTTAAGTTTTAATATTTGATTTGATAATTTTATTAGTTTCCGCTATCAGGTTTTTGGGGGACTAACGAGTTTAATGATGATGGAATTTATTTATATGAAGAAATACAAAACTTTGTTGATTTTGGAAAT